GTTATTATCTAGCATAATAACATGAGTTTAGATTATTTCCTGTTTTTCCATTCTCAAGAAAACATTAACTGTAATTTTAATTACCTGTACCTTCTGGGTAAAAGTTTCTTCTACAACCCTTTGTATGCCTACCATGGTGGCACGTGTCTGTAATCCCAGTACTCTGGGAAGCTGAGGCAGAAGAATTGCAAATTTGGACTCAGCCTGGGCAATTTAGCAACTTAGTAAGATCCTGCCTCAAAAATTAAAAGGCGGGGGGCAGGGGAGGAGGATTTTTTCAGTATGAAGCCCTAGGTTTGATCCACAGAACTACAAAATAATACATAAATTTTTAAAACCTTTATACCTATTGCTTTCCTTCTTCATAAAAATAATGATTGTATGACTATTTAGTCTATTGATTTCTTCTTGAGTCAATTCTGGTAAAGTATTTTTCTAAGGAACCATTAATTTTTCCCATGTTCTCAATATTTTGACATAAAATTTATGATTATAACCTATTTTGTTATGTACAGAGTCCATAGTTATATTGATTTTATTAATTTATTATTACTGTGTTATATCGATAAAATCAATTGATTTTGTTAATATTTAATAAACTAACATAATCATTTCTATTATGTGTTTATCTTTCTCTGTGTTTTAATTTCACTATTTCTTCTTCTTTTTTTTTTTTTTTTTTGGTACCATGGATTAAACTCAGGACCTTGTGCTTACAAGGCAGGCAGAGTGCCACTGAGCTAAATCCCCAGCCCTCACTATTTCTTCTTATTTAGATTAAATTTCTTGTGGAATTTTTACTTGGTTATACATCTTTCATTCTGTCCCTACTTACACATTTGTAAGAGTTCTTTATATACTTAGAACACAGGCTTTTTGTTGATATAAGTATTGTGAATATGTTCCTTCACTGTTCTTTTGATGAACAGCTCTTAATTTTAAAGTACTCTAGTACATCAATCTTTTATGTGTATTACTTAACCAATCTGTCACTGTCCTCAAAGTCATGAAGATATCATATATTATTTTCATAAAAATCCAACAACCAATATAGACAGCACAATTGGAAGCCATGGGGTCACTCTGAACCACTATCCTCCCCTCACCTGAATTTGGGCAGTGCCGCAGGGCTAACTCTTGATGATTCTTCCTCTGAAGCTCATTGAAAAATTCATGTATATGAGCTACACCTTATATACACAGTTCTACTAGAGTGAATTATGAGAAAGGACATACAAAACAGGCACAATGGATAGAACACAGCACTCTATCAATCACGCTATCAACCATGCTCTTGAGGACCCCAATGAGTCTACCAGTTGTATAATTTGTCAGGATGAGTCATGGTCTTTGCTTAACCCTACGGCTTCCCTTGGAAGCATGAGGAACATTTTCTTCCTGTTATCTTCCTTAGCTGTGGTCTCCAAGCCTCAGTCGTTGAATGCAGAAGACCTGTTACACCAGTACTGAATTAGGAGAAGTAGGTTTTAATCATAACTATTATAATCCCATCCAGATATCAGGCACTTTGAAATATAAATTATGAACAAAAACCAACTAACTCTTCTATTTTTTTATTAATTTCATTGGTACATTTTAGGTGTATAATATAATGACATTCATCTTTGGAAATTTGTACCTTTACATAATAAATCTTGGTTCTTATTTTTTCCCTATTCCCCTGCCCTCCCTTCAACCCCTCCACTCCTCCCTATTTACAAAGACTTTGTTTCCATTTTTTTCTTTTCTCATATTAATTCCATTCCCTTCTTTCCTTTCCCCAACCCCTCCCACTTCCCCTTCAGACCTTTTCTTCTTATTTCACATTATCTATTATACCTTTTGATAGTTATTTATACTTTCAGTTTCTCACACCAGAGAAACTATTCAGGATATTCACATATCTGTCCTACTTATTAGTTTGTAATAACTAAAACTTGGAAACAGCCCAATTGCCCATCAACTGGAGACCAGATAAAGAAAATGGTTGTTTTTTTAATAAAATGGAGAACTAATCAGCCATAAAGAATGAGAAATTAGAGACATTTATAGCTAAATGAATCCACATTGAGGCAATACTCTCAACTACCTCTACTGTTAATCGTTAGTATTAGGGATCAGTGTCCTATTTTATCTATACTATAAGTGATGGCTTACCATCTTAACATACTGCTAAAGTTGTCTTTTAGAAATCATATTTCTGTAGAATGTTAAGAAATAACAGTTATAAAGTTTTATAAGGCAAATTTACAATCGAGAGCAAACATGGTATTTTAGGATAACAATTATATAGAACCATTAGGTTCTTTTTATTATCTCTAAAAATACATAAATTCTCATTTTAGTGATAAAAACATCATGATACTGGCAAAAAAAAGACCTGAAGATCAATGGAGCAGACTAGAAGATGCAGAAAGAACCTCAAACACACTCAGCCACCTTATTTTTGACAAAGGGGCCAAACATGTTTAGTGGAAGAAAGATAGCCTCTTTAATAAATAGTGCTGGAAAAAGTGGCTTTTTACATGCTGAAGACTAATACTAGACTCAGGTCTGTCACCATGCACTAAACTAAAATCAAAGAGGAACAAAGATCTAAATATTAAATCAGAAACAATCTGCTGGAAGAGAAAATAGGTAAAATGCTTGAGGACATAGGAGTAGGCAAAGACTTCATGAACAAAACCAGATCAAACAGGAAATACTACAAAGAATCGACAGCTGGAACTCATCTTATTAAAAAGCTTTTACACAACAAAAGAAATCAACAACAGAGTGAAAAGACAACCAACAGTGGGAAAAAATGTTATTGAGCACTTCCTCAGACAAAGGATTAATATCCAGAACATATAAAGAATTGAAAAAAATCAGTCCACCCAAATTTAAAGACCCAATTCAAAAATGGGCATCTGAGATGAACACACACTTCTCAAATTAAGAATAGAAACACAAATAAATACATGAAAAAATGTTCAACATCACTGGTCATTTGAGAAGTGCAAATTAAAACAACACTGAGATTCCATCTCACTCCAGAAAGAATGGCTATTATCAAGAAATCAACCAACAACAAATGCTGTCAGGACTGTGGGGAGAAAGGAACACTTCTCCATTGCTGGTGGAAGTGCAGACTGGTGCACTTGCTGTGAAATCAGTGTGGAGATCCCTCAAAAGACTAGAATTAGAGGTTCCATTTGACCCAGCTATTTCCCTTCTGTGTATCTTTCCAAAAGAATTAAAAGAATCATAACACAGAGATGTATGTGCACCCATGTTTATAGTGGCACAGTTTGTAATAGCTAAATCTTGGAAACAACCCAAATGCCCATCAACTGATGAATGGATAAAAAAAAAGTGGTGTTATTATATAATGGAGTACAATTCAGCCATAAAGAATGATAAACTTGAGATATTTATATGTAAATGGATGTACTTTGAGAACATACTTTTAAGTGAAATAAATTGAACACACATGTGTAAATATCACATTGTCTCACTGGTGTGAGAAACTGAAAGTGAAAATAAAGACCAAAAAGAATAATAATGAAATACAGTGAAATTAGGAAGAAATTGTTCAAAATTATACAGAATGTGAGCTATTTTGTAAATACTTACAATGTTTTAAGCAAAAAAAAGCTATAGTATTGGTGAGATTAGCAAATGAAAATATATTCTTTTTAGATCATAATGCAATGTATTTACCATTGTTATTCTCTAATAATTTTTGTTATGAAAAATTATTCCTTCATAGAATGCCTTTTATATTTTCTTTATTAATATCAGCTTGTGTTATATTAAAATTTAAAAATTTTAAAAATTAAATAACATCAATAGGTTGCTTTTATCCAATTACAAAATATTAAATGACATAAATTTTTATCTAAATTTGCTACTTTTAAAAGAACAAAATGACTAAGAAGAATATACTTATTTACAAAAATATTTTATTGCTTATTAATATTCAAACTTTAATAATTAGAGTGCCATTGCCTGGTCTGTACATCTAACTATTATAATACAATTACATAACAATCACATACATAAACATAAGCCTAGAAAAAGTCCATTATTATAAACAATTTAGCACGATGACACATTTTTTTGTTTTAGAGGGCTTGTACACTTGGGGCATAAATGCATTTAATATACCAAAAAGTTAACAATATTTTGCATCACAGCTACACATAAATTTTTTACATGTATGAATTTCATTTCTACTCTTAAAACAAAATGTTGATTCTTTTAACAGGTTACATGGTATAAGCACACTGACAAGAGTCAAAGGAGGGACATTTTGGTGTTTGTCTGCGGGCCCGTATGTCTGTGCCCCACGTGGCACAAAAGTAGGAGGGCCACTTCCTTGCGCATCTCTGAGAAGTGCACCTTCCTCATCCTTCAGAAGGTTCAGGGGCCCCAGGGCTCATCCTGAATTCTCAAATGGTATTTTGGTCACAGCAATAACAGTCTAGTGCTGTGTCATTTTCCCCAGTAGCAGGTTTCAAAGAGACCAAACTGGATATGATCTTCCATTGAAGAAGACAAACTGGATGGTGGAGAAAGAGTCTGTCTTGGATAAACCTGAGAAGATAATGAGCAGATGAGAAACATCAAGACTTTGGAGGCAAGTTGTATCCATCTCCAGTAAATACTGACTGGGGAAAAAACAATGAACATAAGAAAATTAGAAAAATCCTTCCTTTTTTCACAGACCTTATTTCTCTTTGGGCACACATTTTTGAAATTTTCACTTCAAAAGACAATTTAGGCTTAATTATGAGGAAAGCTGTGTAGAAAAAAATCATTAATTTTATTAATTTGAAAATCCTCTACCAGAGCTAATTCCTTGTGGTAATAGTCTCCTGTAAATCAGTGTAGAAATGCTATTGTACCCTGTCTAATAGCAGAGTATTCCCCACTGGAGAAAAACTGTATGAATTTACTGAATGAGGGGAAACATTTATACACTTGCATTGTCTCATTGAACCAAGTCATGATGAAGAGACACCCTGTACTTCTAAGGAATATTAAAAAGCCATTAGCTAGATGACAGATCTCATTGAGCAACAGAAAATTCATACTGGAGAGAAACCAGTGAGTATAGCATAACCTCATTGAATATTAGCATTTTATACTGGAGAGATAGCTTTGGCTACGTGTGATAAAATTGTCTCAAACTTTATCCTTTATTCTACATTTGAGAGGTCATACACAGAGAAGCCTTATAAATGTAAGAAATGTGGAAATATCTTCAGCCAAAAGTAAATCCTCATTCATCAAAAAATTCATACTGGAAAGAAATCTTGTGAATGTGGGAAAGCTTCCATTCCGATGTCACACCTCAGCCAGCAGAGAAATTGTAGCGGGGGAAACCCCTTTGCCTGTAAGGTATGTGGGAAAATCTTCAGCCACAAATCCAATCTCACTGAGCATGAGTTTTTTCATACTAGAGAGAAACCTTCTGAATGTAATGAATGTGGGAAAGCCTTTAGCCAAAAACAGTACGTCATTAAACATCAGAACACCCATACTGGAGAGAAGCTTTTTGAATGTAATGATTGTGGAAAATCCTTCAGCCAGGAAGAAAACCTCCTTACCCATCAGAAAATTCACACTGGAGAGAAACTTTTCGAGTGCAAAGATTGTGAGAAAGCTTTCATTCAGAAGTCAAACCTCATCAGACACCACATAACTCACATGGGAGAGAAGCCCTTCATATGTAAGCAGTGTGGGAAAACCTTTAGTGGCAAATCAAATCTTACTGAGCATGAGAAAATTCATATTGGAGAGGAACCCTTTAAATGTAATGAATGTGGGACAGCTTTTGGCCAGATGAAGTACCTCATAAAGCATCAAAACATTCACACTGGAGAGAAACCCTATGAATGTAATGAATGTGGAAAAGCTTTCTCTCAGCGAACATCACTTATTGTGCATGTGAGAATACATTCAGGTGATAGACCTTATGAATGCAATGTATGTGGAAAACCCTTCTCTCAGAGTTCATCTCTCACTGTGCATGTGAGAAGCCATACAGGTGAGAAGCCCTATGGTTGTAACAAATGTGGGAAAGCTTTCTCACGGTTCTCAACCCTAGCCCTGCATTTGAGAATACACACAGGTAAGAAGCCTTATCAATGTAGTGAATGTGGGAAAGCTTTCAGTCAGAAGTCACACCATATTAGACACCAGAAAATTCATACTCATTAAAAAACATGTGAATATCTTCAAAATGGGAAAATGTGCTCCAGGAATTTGTATCTCACAGTACATCTGAAATATTTTGAAGCAAAGCACTGCAGGTGAGGTGAACTTTAACAAATGCTAAAACTTACAGGATACCAACTAGCTCATACTGAAGAAAAAGATTTTTGTATGATGAAAAGACTGCCTGACCAAGAAAACTGTAGCAGAGGTAATAATTAACTTTAAATGCATTTCCCTAAAATTGGGTACAGAAAATAGAGGCCTGTTACTGCTCTTGGCATAAGTCTGGAGATCTTCACCAATATAAGAAAATAAGGTATAAGTATTAGGAAGAAACAAAAACATATGATCATCTACAAATAAGCCTTTGTGACAGCGATTCAGCAGAGCAGAAGATTCCAGGAAGAGACCTATGCATTTATTAGAATTTGGAATATGAAAGAGATGGCATTAGGAGAGGAAGAAATGATAAGACTTGAAAAAATTATTTGGAGGTAATTTGTTCTCCAAGGGTGGAGAATGAACCATGGATTACACAGAATAGTAAAACCCACAGGGATTGAAGAAAAATATAAAAAGCCAGTATACTAAAAATGGTTATGAACTTGAGAGTAGGAAAACATTCCTTATAACAAATTTAAGAATACATATTAGTTTTACTTGTATGTATGTTCAGGAAATAATGTAGTAGCCAGGTAATGGAAACAATTTAAATCTCCATCTGGAACAAAATGGAAAATTCTTAAGGTAGAATACTACACATCTACAAAAATGCAACAGATGAGAGCCACATGGTAATAGAAATATCTAAAAGTTGAGAAGGAAAAATGTTGCAGAATGATGCATATAGTACATGACTTTTTGTAAATTTGAGTTATGTTTCCTTGATGAAGTTCAATACTTTATATTGGTAATGCATATACATACATATGTAAATGTTTTTGAAATCAGTTGGAAGGATACAGACCAAACTCTTGATGGTGGCCTGTGAAGAGTGAAGAAGGGAAGGGAATGAGTGGGGGGGGGGCTTAATCTTTTTATATAAATATCCATTTCTCTTAAAAACTGCAAGTAAATATATGAAGATACTAATTCTGAAAAAAAAAAGAGTCAAAGGATACCTTTAGACCTCCTATGACTTTATGAAACTGTGCTAATGACCAGAAATAGACATTATTTAATACACAAGTATATCTCATTTATACAATAATATAATGGTTGTTTAGTCAAAGCTAAGAGATATAGATCAAATTTTAAATGTAAGGACTGACTTGACTCAAAGAGCAGAGATGCCAAAAATTTTAAATCATGTTATGCTTAAGGTCCAGATGTAACTATTTTATAGTTACATGTGTAATTGTATTATATAAAAGAGAAAACTTACTGGTTACTTCGTATGCATTGAATTTATATAATCTTAACTCTATAAACTTAACATTTGATCAATCAGCATACTTATCCTCAGATACATATCTCTAGTCCAAGATATACAGGGTATACTATAACTTAAGATAATAATTTATTTAACCAGTTAAAAACTGATTATTTAAAAGATTTTACAACAATTTAACATTTATAAAAATCTTAACTTTTAAATCTCAGCTTCTTTTTTTTTTTTTTTATTGGTACCAGGGATCGAACTCGGGTCCTTGGGCTTGGAAGGCAAGCAGCGGAACCACTGAGCTAAACCCCCAGCCCAAATCTCAGCTTCTTAAATAATCAAAAGCCTAACAAAAGAAAATATAAGAAATTATTTTGATAAAACACAAAACCTTTGTGTCTTAATCTAGTTTTTGTAAGTTTAACCAATGGCATTTTAATACCTTAAGAAAACCTTACTGCTTTGTACAGAAAACTTTAACCTTTTAATTATAGTCAATTTAACTATATATAAAGATTTCATAATAACATTTCTTGAGGTGGGACACAATAAGATTCTTAGGGATACCAGAAAAACTACCCATCAGTGGAGAAAACTGAAGCAAATTGGTTCAGGCAGCCACACTTTCAGCCACAGGGGGGGAGCTTTGTGTGGCAGTTCCTCCGGCTCTGTGGATCCCCACCTAGGAGAATTTTTATCATTATTTTAGTGTAAAATGACAGCATCTTAACTCGGCCTAAAATGTTTTTTGTCACAATCAGTGTGAAGGTGGGCTATATACAGAGAAACACTCTAAGTCATCACCAGGGCAATATAGTAGAATACTGAGAGTAAAACTGATGTACCTGAGGTGGAAATACAATTATGACTTAGGTGACAGAGAAGGAAGAACAAAAGTCAGAAATCAACACAGAGTCACTAGTGGGCTGACTGTAAATATTGACTCAGTAGCAGGAGCATAAGATCATTGAGAGTTAATGAAGCTTAACACAAAAGCTATAACAATAAGAGTGACATCTCTGGAGGATTGAAGACAGTGGAGACAACTCTTTTATAGTTTAAACTTGCTCAATAGGTTTGCAGCCTGCTGCGCAAGCGCAAGGACCTGAGTTTGATCCCTGGTAGCAAAAAAAACCCCAAAAAACTTGCTCAATATTTCTACACATGCAAATGGCTGCTTTCCCTAGAAACATACTATTATAAATAATAGAAATATTTCCTAAATGGAAATCTCAACAGGACAAGCAGCATCTGAACCCCAGAGTTGCACACATCCCCACCCAAAGTACAACTGGGCTGGGAAAAGGCAAACAGAAGTCACAGGATCAATCCTTACAATAATGTCCAAAAGGTTACCAGTCACCAAGGAACAGGCCTTCCAATCTTCCTGAATTTCATCTCTTGACTCTCCTCCAACTCATCCTGAAAACCAAGAGCCCACAGTATCGGAAGGAGGGTGGACCCAGGACTTTTGACCTGGTGGGGGCATGACAACTAAAACAACTGTCACCTGAAAGTTGTATGTGTTTGTGTGTGTGTGTGTGTGTGTGTGTGTGTGTGTGTGTGTATGACCAGGACTGTATAGACGCAAGTATGTTAGGTAATGAAGTAGGGAGGCATGTGTGTACATGACTATGTGTATGCAATGCATGCATATATGTGTGTGTAAAAGCACCAATTAAAAACACTTGAAGGAACTAGGGACTCATCTGAAGGCCTAAAGTGTTTCTCAAGACAATCAGCTTCCAAGTGGGAGGTATACAAAGGGACATTCTAAGTCATCACCAGAGCAATATGGCAGAGAGTATCCAATGACCTACAGAGGCAAGAGACACAAGCTTTATGACAGGAACAGAGAAGCTGACCTTCACCATGAAAGTTCCTAAGAAAGACCTAGCCCTTTCCTTATAGTTCCCTTGGCTTCTAATGAAATAATCATCCAAAGGAAGAAAATGCAAAGCTCAAGTCACAGGAAGGACTGAGAGGAAGAGAGAAAACACAAGTATTCCTGGGCCAATATGTCACACACAGAAACATGGCATTCTCCAGAAATCAGGACAGAGTGAGTGGAGGTTATTAGGGAAGGAAACAGAAGAGTTTCAGAGGCCTGCAAAAAGGAGGTAAACACTTCACAGAACTAGATGGGGGTTTTCTTAAACTCTAATTAAAAACCGGGATATATGATTATTATTTCTAACTAGTTTCCTCATCATGATACTAATGTAACAAACCAAGGCAATGTCGGTTTTGAACCAGATGCAGAGTCCCCTGGCTCTGGCCCTGGCACTGGCCTTGGTATAGTGCCTCTGTGTTGCTGCTCCATGGTTATTAGATCTAATAGTTTTCAGCATCATGTCACAGAGTGTGACTGTGTTAGTCAGATTTCAGTGACTGGAAAGACTTATTTTGGCTCACAGTTTTGGAGGTTTCAGTTTATGATCAGTTGCCTTTGAGCCTATGGGGAGGCAGCACATCATGGCAGGATCATGTGTAGAAAGAAGCTCACCTCATGGCTGCTGGGAAGTGAAGGAGAGGAAGAGGAAGTGTTCCCTTCAAAGGCATACCTCCAATGATATTAGGTCCCATATTTTAAAAGTTCCATTACTTCCAAATGGCACTGCCCTGCAGACTAAACCTTTAACACATACGTCTTTGGGTAATATTTAACATTCAGGCTATAACAGTGATATATTGATTCCTCAAGTCTGTTATGATGAACCAAAGGCTGATGTAATCTTCCTCATCAGTCTCTAGTTTTCAGGTGGCTGATTGTTCTCCACATGAGGATATGCAACTATTATGGAAACCATTTTGGCTCTTATAGTATCTAGAAGTCTAGTTCTAATGAGATACAGCTTTACTCTCAATAGGTTTTAGTTCTGTAACTGTCTCCCACTGAATGGACACCCCAAAGTTATTTCCATTTTCTATCCTGGGAAATAGGAGCTATACCCTTGACCATGTTACTTTTCCTGATCAGCAGCCAGATCTTAGGTTTTACTTCTCAATAATGTCCGTCAGTGGCTGGTTGGTTTCCATCTCCCATGGGACATCACAAATGCCATGGCTCCTTAGAAACTCTCTTGAAACTCATCCAACATTTGCTTCTTATAAGTAGGACCATCCACTGTGACTATTGGTAATAAGAATGGGATCAGAGAATGAGATATTCATATGTGAGTGTACCTATGTTAGCTGTGGATATTTAGGATGTTTTTTCCTTAAAAAAATCTATCAAGTTCTAACAATTTCTTTGGAAAAAATTTGCCATCAAGTGTGCCTCACTTGTGATCACTCCCTGAAAAAAGTTGACCTTGAGATTCACTTCCTAATTCATCTTCAGCAATGAGGCCTCAGGTGAACCTGGCATGTCCCCTCCACTGAAGACTGGTAGCACTCCCTTGTGGGGAATTCAATAGCTTTGTTACAATGTGCCTATATTTGATTTGTGCTTTTATTTACTCTGCTTGACTTTCTTTTTGCATACTGGGAAATGAATTCAGGACCTTGTGCTTGCTGGGCAGGTGCAGCACCACTGAGCTACATCCCCAGCCTTCTCTGCTTGACTTTAATAAAGTACATCTATAGCTTGATGTCTTTGGTCCTTTTTGGAAAATTATAACATTGTTATCATTTCAAATACACTACTGCCTTATTTGCTTTCTACTCTCTCCTTTAGAAATTCTAATAATCTAAATTTTTGATGTGTCTCACATTGTCCCTAAATTTTTAATTCTATTTTCTATATTTAAAAAGAAATTTTCTTTTAACTGTTTTCTGATTCATTAATCTTCTTTTCTGCTGGGCTTAATCTGAGGGTAAACTGACCATTAAGTAACCAGTTTCAGGTTACGCTTTCATTGTTTGGTCCTAGAATTTCCATTTCATTCTCTGTAGAAATATCTTGAACATGGCATAACATAGCTACTTTAAAGTCTGTGTCTGGTGCATCCATTTTCTGGATCCCTGATAGGCCTCTTCTATTGTGTTGTTTCTCTTAGATTTTGATCATATTC